CAAAGCAGATGCTGACCTAGTGTCGGATTCTGTTTCACTGGTCGTCTGCGTCACATGCCCACAACCAACATGGACAACCCCGGAAGCTCTACCAGCAGTCCAGTCCTAGGCTGTCCTGAGAAGTGCGAGAGACTGTCAACCGAGAGCCCTGCCTCAAACACAGCAATTCGAGCGAATTCATCAGGCGATCACATGGAGCAACAGACAAACAACCAATAGGAATCAAGGACAAACAACCCAACGAAAACACGCCTAATCGGACGTACCACATTCCAGCAAAATATCGTCACATGGTTTCACATTGCAGCGATCGACGATACTAGTCCGGTCGTCAGGCGAGCGCAGGTTGCCTTCATCTGTATGAATCTGAATCTATTTCGATGTTTTTGACCAATAGATCTGGCTACGACTTTGCTCGGTTTGTGTGAAACTGTGGATAGCGATCGTCCTGTTGTGAAGACATCCCGCAGAACTCTGGATTATTTAGGACGCGGAGGTTGTCGCCAAGACGATGGTCATTAGATTCGCTGGATTTCCAGTGGACTTACGTGAACTCCTCTATTTGCAACTTATTATTATGCTTGCAAGTATACCACCTATTTTCACCGTTGTAGTTGGTCGTGCGAACGGTTATAATTACAGACGTTAGTCATATATGGAGTCATTGGTACGGTATAAATGCAAGTATATAAGTAAGTGTAAAATGAATACAAGTTCAAATGAATGTATGGCTTTATTTACGGTGAAATAATATACCTATAGTAGGATGGGCTTGGACAGTCAAGGCAATCCACCGTGAAGTTAGCTGCAGTTGGTAATTATCGGACAGCTGTGAGTGAATTTGTCATCTTCACCTTTTGCAGCAACGCCAATTGTAGCCACTGTCCACGCCGTGGATGGCCGGTAAGAAGCTATATTCTCTTGGATGAGTCTATGCCCGGATATTTTCCCAGAAACTGGACCACATGAGAACAGTCATGTGCTTCTGAAGTACTAACGACCCTCGTAAGGGATCATGGGATTATACAGCATATGAAGTGCTTTGATGTAAGGGACGATGCAAGTTTCAGAAACAAAAGTTGTGTTGTAAACCTCACGTATGGCATTGTGACTGTGCTATGATCACAAGCCAAGCTTTTCTAGACCGCTTGTGTAGGAATCTCACCATCGCTAACTTGCACTCCTTCATTAACGAGACATGCAATCGAAGTTCGATTGCATGTCCTGGTTTTGATAGTTTCCAAGTGAGAATTCAGCGTATACGTTGTATCCGGATTCAGTCAAGCTTGCATACAATACGGCTCTCGTTTGCAAACGTAAATGCGCATAAAATGGTATCTCCTTACGGGTAGGCATATATCCCATATTTCTAGGAAAATTTTGCTGTGACGTTATTCATTGGTCACCTTCGAAAATGTACGGTGTGAATTGAGTATAATATACGTTTTCTCTCAAAGGAAACCACTCACTCTTTGACAGCCCACGACTAGTTTTGTCCTTCTTGGGGCTCATCAGATAAGTGCAGTTCCCAAGGTTCTGTCAATCTTACGTTCTACTTGAATGAACAGTTGTTTGCCAAATTTTAAAAGTTCCGTTCGGGGATTAATGAAAGGGCGAACTTGATTGTATTTAGTTGTTGATATGTCCATTGTAACTATATGGGTGTTAGTATGAATGCGTATATGTGTACTAGTATATATATATATATATATCAGAATAAACATATGGGGTTAGGAAAGTGCATTATCGCACGGTGCTACGGGAAAAGAGGCAGAACTTATGGTCTTTGTGTCACTTGATAAACACTGGGAGTTAGCTTTTTATGTTTACGTTTGCTCACCCAACACGTGTACAAATAGCTGAACAACTGTGGTCTTTTACAACATCTTTTTATGTTGTATAGTGTCGTAGTCACTCTGCGTTTTTGTGATTTGAGACTTGTGCTAGGTATTGACGCGATTGCTGTGGGGTGAGATATTTTTTCTCATTTACAAGGGACTGTACGATATTCCACGATATGTGCGGCAGAATTCATAAACCGTGAGTCGATAAATTTGACTGTTTCGAATTGTCTGTGGAGGGCTTTACACTTCGGGTTGCTTTTGACACAACAGTGGAAAATTGATTCCAACAGCCACAGTTTTGAATGGCCTTTAATTGCTTCATATTGTTGAGTCAGGTTGTCTATTTGGAGGCCCGTTTGACATCTGGATTAGTTTTTACGCCCGAAGTCCACTGGGCCCAATTTTCCACTGGATATCACAGTTCTACTGAAATGTCAAACCTCGACATATACTGCTCACTCATATGCAGATAGACGAAAAGCAAAAATGATGACTAGGCTACACAATTTTATGGTAGGCTTGCGGAAAGACAGACAATTCGGCGGTCAATGTGCGCAGTGAGCTTGTGCCGCAGACAGTCAGTGCTTCGGAATTCGACATTAGGCGATAAAGCAGGAACTGATATGAATAGAGGATGAACAGTCAAGTGAAAGCACAGACGATAAGAAATAACGTCTCTGGTAAAACAGTATGACACGGTTTCACAGTGCAGCGATATAGAAACCGGGGCAAGCTGTGATGCGGTCGTTGGTTTTTCTCACCCACAATGTTGATGATAAATGTTGATGAATACATTGACAAAACTGAGTACTTGTTGTTTCGGCTGTTATGCTAGTTTGGACACAGACCTGATATCAAAGTAGGTAGGTGCCGGTAGAACATCATCGAGATTTTGGTGTGCAGGCAGTTCGTCTGTGACTGGCGAGTGGAAATGCGTTCTTCTCGACACAGTGCAACAGCCCCACTGATCTGAACTGGACACAACGAGCCCACAGAATTTGCCCTAGTGAATAATTTCAGATAGCTGAAACCGATCCGAATGGCCCTCAATAACCGGACAAGTGCGATAAACTGACATGACCGAGATGTGTGGATCTTACTCCTGGGATCAAAACATCCACGTTTCCGTGTCTACCGTGTATCCTGTGTCTAGCAAGTGTGGCACCACTGTTGAATCCCTAACCATCATCTGGCTTGTTTGTACACCATCTGTGCTGTCAGTTACCGNAACCGGACAAGTGCGATAAACTGACATGACCGAGATGTGTGGATCTTACTCCTGGGATCAAAACATCCACGTTTCCGTGTCTACCGTGTATCCTGTGTCTAGCAAGTGTGGCACCACTGTTGAATCCCTAACCATCATCTGGCTTGTTTGTACACCATCTGTGCTGATCAGTTACCGTCGGCATTCCCCGACTGTCTTTCCCAACGTGAACTGCCTTGTAGTCATTCCGTTTCACTTATTATTCCCGGTCCCCTTTCCTATCTACTGGGTGGGGGGAGAGTTCGTCAAACAGTGCCAGTTCTGCACAAAACGGTTTCCTCCTGTGGACTGTAACTACAAACTTGCTGCTATTTAACGCTCTATAATCAGTTCACCTGTCCCTGTTATGTATTGAGTGACCGTCGGGTCAGTCCATTTTGTATTGGACTGGTGCACTTCTCTCTCGCGACCTAATCGTCCGCTTTATCCGAGTCTTTTACTTGGTTTCAACTCGGACTGTCCTTGAGTAGACCTCTTCTTTGTGCAATACACTTACGTGGCTACCCACTGATGAAACACATCTGGCCTTGGGATGTGTCAGCAAGCAGTTCCTCTCGATCGGCAACAGTTTCCAAATGTTCACCGCTCCTATGTATCATACAGAGGTGAGTATTTGTGTGACTGGAGCGGTCCATATATATACATGCTCAGCTGAATGTCATGATCTAGGATAATCCCACTCTTGGTTAGAAATTTGCTAACGCTGTGCAGCTTCAAACTGAGGGCTTGTTGCACAATAGACCAAAAATTTCAATTCAAAATGGATTAACCAAACGTGGTTTGTTTCTCAAGGTGGTCAATCCGCAGGAAGGGATTCCTATATTTGTCTTCTAGCTGATCTATTTCCTACTTGTTTGTTAGGTGGATTCCAGTGGCCAAATTCCATTTATTGAATTGTTAGTTGGTCAACGGGCACAACTGCATGTATGGACAACACCTTTGGACGATTTCCCAGATGTGAGAAGCAGTCTAGCCTTGATCGTGATGATAACCATAGAACATAGATTATGTGATCAATATGTGACCTTTCAGTCTGTTGTTGAGAGGAAGAGTTCTTCGACCCGAAAGTCCAGAAACATATGGGAATAAATATCTGCAGAATAAGCACTCCATTTTCACTTTTTACAGGAGACTCGATTAAATCCAGGTGAATCTTTCATTTACGGTAGTCCGCTCCATCTGAATTTGCTGCACCAGGCCACCTCGTGTTTCAGCTGACACTATATTCGACATATCGTAATACGTCGTTGTCCAGACGTGACACACTACTCATAGCGTTGCCGGAAACCATGAACCTAATATTTTACCTGAAACCAAATTAGAAAGAGTTCGAGAAATACTCTCATTAGCACAGGACTTTGGTTTTGACAGCAGGCCTAACTGAATCAAGATGAATGTTTCATTTGTGATGGATCGCTTCAACTGAAGCGGACAGGCAACTAGTCGGATTACGCGGTACTTACGAAAGGCATTGATTGGGTCTAGTCTGAACATCAGAAACCGGCAAAGACAGGTACCCCAATAAACTACTCGTCAGCAAATCAGAAATTGGCGTGCTTTTTTGTGTTGCTTCATCAATACCTAGTCGATTCAATGGGTCATGCCTAGGAAAGATCAACAAGACGGTAGCTCAAATATGGGCTTGAAGTAGATGTGAAGGATGCGAATCAGTAATTAGTCCCATTGGGTGGCGTGCGGACATTTTACCACTCCAATACGTGGAAAAAATAGGCCTGCTCATTGGTCAGTCAAAACACCCGGAATTCACCAATTAGAATAAGGACAACCAAGGCCGCGAACACCAATTGGAGGGTTGGTATATAAAAGGGTGGGAGCGAGTGCCAGCAGGCAGTCGCTGCTATCGCTGTTTCTGTCGTTGGTGTGGTCGTCGCTATTGTTGTTCATAGTGCTACTGCTGCTTTTACTGCCAACGTGATGGTCAGTGGTAACGAACAGAGTGTACCAGTTCAGTTGGATGGACGAACATTGGAGCAAAGTCAGAGAGACTTGTTGTCGAGGCTGCGCCATAGGTTTGGTCGGCGGACCTCGAGTGAGAGGAGTGCAGTCGGGCAACCAGAGGAAAAACCAGTTCAAGTCAGTGTCCAAACCCCGACGTGGAGTGATGAAGTGAACCGTTGGATTGATGCAATCCACGATAGGTGGGACAGTGAAATGAGACGTCTGCAAAACAGCATGTTTTCTTTGGTGGTAAGTTTGCGAACCACGTTATAGATTACGTGTGTGAAGTTGCGAACAGTGTGTATGTTCCGAATAGCTGCTGAGTCTGTGTGTTGAATTGGCGGCTATTCTGGCAAGACACGAAAATGCCATTGTCATATGTGTTCCGTTGGACTCTTCAGCCGATGGACTTGTTTGGCATTGGTGGGCAGGATTTGTTCGCGCCTCCTGGTGGCATTCGGTCAATCCTGGATCGTATGGATCGTCAAATGCGTGCACTGGCCCGCCATGTGGAGGAGGAAGCGCAACGAGCTGCATTGCCAGACAACACGAATTTCGGAGCTCTAATTCCACGTGTTGAAGACGGTTTGCTTGATTGGCTCAACAATGCTTATCAACTCGGTGAAGATGGTCGAGTAAGTTGATTTGATTGCCTGTGTCGTGAATCAAAGAGTTGAAGATATTTTCTCGATGTAATGGTTGCAGTAGAGCTTTAAATCGAGGCTCGTTGGCCTCCGCTGTGTTGAATACTTATTGCCTAATGAACAGAATGGGAACTCAGTTAATGTAGTTCTAGCCGCAGGGTTCGTTTCCAAGAGGTGGTTTAGCTAGTCGGTCACCTGAATGGCGTGTGTGAGATCCAATCATCCTTGCCTTCTTCATGCTTCGACCTCGCTTTGTGTACGCAAGACTATGCGAGTGCGGATGAACCCTTTAACTGAAATCGCTATGGGCCAGTTAAATTGGACTGCAATGTGTTTTTAGTGTTCTTCCGTGTTTCCTGTAAGGACAGCAGTCACTGGGAGGTTAGCTTGCGACGTCATCCTTCCACTAGGATTCGGAAGACCAGACGGTGCTTTAGAGATTCCAGGTGGTTGATCCCTACCCAAACAGTGATGGGGTGCGAGGAATCCTTCTCTCTTCTCGAAGGTGCACTCTGACATCAGATCTTCGTCCGCATGGAGTGTATATTAGCCGACACCGGCTTGTGCCAACAATGATATGGTGCATTGGTGATTAATTCGATGGACGAGTTGGAATCTCCCCTTCGTGGTTGGGATCCGTACAATACGGTCTAGCACCGTTGCGAACACCATAGGACATGGTGCGGAATTCGAACTGGTGGTGGACATATCACTGGTTCCCATTTGAAATGCCTAGCTAGATTTTGCCTGTTCTCTGTCAGGTTTACAGTGTGTCGTACTTTTGCCAATGTCATTGTCGTTTGGTTACTCCAACATGAAACATGCATGTGCTTAGTTCGGTGCTGCTCCAATTTGTGTACACTTTGTTCTTGGTCATTTGCTTAGATCGTAGGGTCTTTTAAGGAAAGATCCTACACCATCATCTTATATGCAAGGCTTTTAGTTGCTCGTCGGTGTGTAGTTCGTCTGGCTGCAACTCTCCAGTTTGTTGCATTTCTCCACAGGTCCACTTCAAGGTTCGGTTCGATCTGCAGGGATATGGACCAGATGATGTTCAGGTGTCCACCTCCGATAACTGCGTGAGTGTACACGCAAAGAAGGTTGTTCAAACCGACCAGGGTTCAAGCACTCGCGAGTATTCGCGCACACTCTACTTACCTGAGTCGATTGACAGGGATCACTTGGAGTGTCATCTTACTCAAGTGAGTTTCTGTTGCTTTGACTGGTAGGCCAAGTTGTGGATTATCTCATGCCCGATATGATTGCATGCTATGATAATCCAACTGTCCATGACAGTTAGCGGTCGGATTTGACCGACGTTTTTGGGTTGATCGCGTCAACTGAGGAGGCGTTCTGGGCATTGCTCACGAGCCCATTGATTTCTTTCCACGAAGCGAGAGACTATGCCATATTGTAACTGTTTTTCGTATCTTCTTGGGTTTGTGACTGTGGTTCATTGAGAACATCATGAACGAGAGATTCAGCTGTGTTTTAGGCGAGTCTCTCGCTGGACCAGATCTGTTTTCACATGGATGTATTTCGCTAATTGGTAATGTTCGTTTTAGGATGGTGTGTTGACCGTGGAAGCTCCAGTGAAGACCGCGGACTACAAGTCGATTACTTTCGATCGCAATCGTCAGTTAGGCATCAAGCCACGCACGGAGGCCGAAGAGGAACAACAACAAAAATCTGGAAACGCATTAGCGATTCAACCGACCGGTAAGCTGTTTGTGATTCGCATGGTCTTTTATTCGTTAGCTGTACTTGCGTGACTCGTTTGACGGTGTCGTATGCTTTTGCTTCGTAGGTGTTCTCGGCCCGACTGTTGTGAAGGACGAGAAGTCTGGCGGCGAGAAGTTGCATGTGGAGATCCCAGTGGACCCAGAGTTCTCAGCCGACGATTTGTGCGTGCGTGTGGACGGGAAGCGTGTTGTGTTGTCGGGCCGAAAGGAAGTTGTGGACGAGACGGGGAAGTCGAAAAGCGTTTTGGTGAAGGAATTTTCGCGCTCATATGATGTGCCGGAGACAGTGGACGCGTTCTCAGTGAATGCTGAACTTCGAGGAGGCAAGCTTTTGGTTGAAGCGCCATTGTTGTGCCCTGCCGCCTCGAAGTAGACCGGTTGGATTGGATTCTGTTTGTCATTTGCTTGATTACGCAATACATATGAGTGTATTAGCTCACAGTTTGTTGTTGCTTCTTGCGTTCGATTCGGGTGAAATGGCAATTGTCCGGGGGATGGGATGTATTGTCCACGAGGGAGTGTGACCTGACCTGGCAGTAGGTGTTGTTGGGTTGAGTAGCATAGGACGAGTTTTTGGCGAGATACATGACCTGACCTGGCAGTAGGTGTTGTTGGGTTGAGTAGCATAGGACGAGATTTTGGTGGGGCGAGATACATGTGGGGAATCGTGTTTTCTCTTTTGATGCGGTTTCCTTTTTCCAGGTCTCCATGAGTGCCAATAACATTATTGGTTTTCGCAGTGCTGTATGCCTGCCAAATCGGTTTTCGTGATCAATACCACATATGGTGTATGCCATCAGACAAACTAGTCCCACTGCACTGCTGATTGGACTCTCACAGGGGAACAAGAGGATGATGAGCATGTGCTGGAATCACTTATCAAAATCATTCTTGGTATGCGTGAGATAAACGCGATTTATCTGTGGACCAGGCGTCACGCATTCCACATGTACCTGGTCCGGTGTAGGAGACAACGATAACGCCACGTTCTCTCGAATCCCTCGTGCAACAGCTGGTACATTTCAGAAATAAGCTGTGGAATGGACTAGACGTGACACAAATTTTTTGAAAAGTCAAAATCTTTCCACTATGAACTAGAGAGTCGGTGCGATCCACTTAGGTCATCCGCCTAAACCAGATTTGTACGCAAACGTTAGTATTGGGCGGAAGATGTGGAGTCGTTTACATTTCACCCGTGACAGAAAGTAACTCAACAGATGGCTTTCCATTCTCACCAGAATTTTTACATGATTGCCAACCCGTTCGCATTCCAGATATATCACGATGAGTGCCACAGGGTGAGGATCCTTCAGTTGAACATGAGACGCACAAAGCCACTTGACTATTGCCACTCCAGTAACGCAAAGCATATTTGATCACATACTCGTTGAAAAATATGCGACAGCCCAAAACCGGTTTCACCCTTTTTGAGGTTTATCAAGTAGGAGCAGTCCCCGTTTTCCCGTCAACCCTATGTTCTAATTGAATCCAAATTGCACAACAAGCGCGAACTAGACACATCTGCCCACCAATAGGGTTTTCACGGTAGGCGAACCTGAAACAGCGTATAGGGGAATACCGGTCGTTGGCTGTTGGAGACATTTCAGCAACCTTGCTTTAAATGCGTTAGCTCCATAAATTTCATTGCGATTTCTCTATTATCCACCAACATGATCGTGAGGCGACCCGATGCAGCGCATTCAGTTGTAGAAATCAACCACCACCATCACCACTAAAGAGGGAGAGATTTACCTGGATTCATAAATTTTATTGCGAGTTTTCGTCATTTTGGATAGATTGCGGGTTCATCCCAAGGCGCTATTCCCCCATCCAATTTCGATCGGATTTGTGCACAGGCTCTGACCGACCCGCAGACCCAAATGGAGCACATATCAGAATTTGACACCATGGGCATAATTACGATAATTACGTGTAGCCATATGACATACGGACAAGATTCTGACAACCTTGACCCCGTGGAACTCGGGTATATTTGAAGCCATTCGAAAGATTCAAAATTTGATTTCGACCCATTGAGAGTAATCTGATCGGAAGTGGCTTGTTTTGTCTGACTGAATCGCTAATCTGTTATATCTGCCCTCTGTTCTCTCCTCAGTGGTAAGTGCCGGAAGAAGACTGACCAAAAGGAATACAACAGCGTTATTTCGAACAAGTGAGTGTGAGAGCTTGAGTGCGGAAATACAACGACCTCAAGCTATCATACTGGAGGGACACTGTCTGACCTTGCTCAATGCTGACTCACTGTATGGCTTAGATACAGGGATGTAAAGCGCTGCATATTGAGGGGGAGTTGTCTGTCTGGTCCCATGGAGTTAAGGATTTCAGTAGATTTTGGGTGTTGAGTAGTTACCTCCAGGAATCTGACCTTCCTGATATGGTTACGCGACCGGTTGCATATAAGCGAAATATCCCTTTTTAGTGTTGTGCCCCACTCAATACCATAACCGGAGTATGTAAACATGATGTTGATAGCCTAGTTTGGTAGGTGTTCATTGTTAGACCAAGCCGTCTTCGGCACCGTTAATTCCGGGTCTCTAATGCGAACTGAAATGGTGACGACTCAGTGAAGTCATTCAGCTAGTCCGCTGTGTACATCTTGAAGTTGACAAGTCAATCGCCACGTCTTTTGATTTACCTGGTAAAATGGCTTTCGTGACGCGCCTCAGGCTGTAACTGCGTTTCACTATGACCATGATTGAATTGCCTTTCTATTTGGTTCGTTAGTATGCGCTTCCGGATCATCGTGTCACATCGAACAAAGCCAACGAACACCCGCACACAGTTGGTAATTCCAGATTCCAGCTGCGATGTGTATCCTCCATAGCGCCCTGTTCCCGGTTTAAGACAGAGGGAATTAGAAACAAATGTGGACAAGATAGGGTAGTTCCGAACTCACGAGCACGCCAAACTTGTGGCTCTCAACTATACCGTCAGTTCCAGTGGATACAACTGAGCAGTTGAGTCTAATGCGGTCATCTGGTGGTCCGCAGCTTCAAGAGACGCATCTTAGGCATGCATATATGATAAGCTAGTGTTAGCCGTCAGTCAGATGTGTCTGCATAACGATGGTGACGGATAATCACCATTGGAGCGTTAATGTGACAATCATAGATTTATACATGAAGAACACGCATGCAGAACATACTAGAACACATTAAAATTCAACTCATATCTAAATGGTACGATATGATACAACATGTACAAAGTAGATTTCACTTAGCAACGGGAATAGTGGACAGACTGGCAATCAAAGCAGAGCCTCCCGAACGGCACAACTTACAGCCCATTTTGCTCGAGGCAACGGAACCAACTAATCTATTGCATTTGTTGTGTACTAAAGCCCATCCGTTGATCCACACTATTCGCACCCCTGGCACAGACGTATGGCCACCTAGTGTAACCAACTATACAACGAAGTTCACAGAAAGTCACTTCTGACATCATCGTGGGTTCAACGCAGCGAACCGACGGTGTAATACTGTGGCGCTTTTCTCACACTGATGGAAATAGCCCCCTAGTCGAATCCAATGGCGTCCGTTTCTGTTAGACTGAGGACTCCACTATTAATAGCACGAATGCACAGCACATCCACGTGGTATTCCGTAGTTCTCCAATTTTTCTACTTTATTCGGGCCCAGTGGACTTCGGGCGTAAAAACTAATCCAGATGTCAAACGGGCCTCCAAATAGACAACCTGACTCAACAATATGAAGCAATTAAAGGCCATTCAAAACTGTGGCTGTTGGAATCAATTTTCCACTGTTGTGTCAAAAGCAACCCGAAGTGTAAAGCCCTCCACAGACAATTCGAAACAGTCAAATTTATCGACTCACGGTTTATGAATTCTGCCGCACATATCGTGGAATATCGTACAGTCCCTTGTAAATGAGAAAAAATATCTCACCCCACAGCAATCGCGTCAATACCTAGCACAAGTCTCAAATCACAAAAACGCAGAGTGACTACGACACTATACAACATAAAAAGATGTTGTAAAAGACCACAGTTGTTCAGCTATTTGTACACGTGTTGGGTGAGCAAACGTAAACATAAAAAGCTAACTCCCAGTGTTTATCAAGTGACACAAAGACCATAAGTTCTGCCTCTTTTCCCGTAGCACCGTGCGATAATGCACTTTCCTAACCCCATATGTTTATTCTGATATATATATATATATATATATACTAGTACACATATACGCATTCATACTAACACCCATATAGTTACAATGGACATATCAACAACTAAATACAATCAAGTTCGCCCTTTCATTAATCCCCGAACTGAACTTTTAAAATTTGGCAAACAACTGTTCATTCAAGTAGAACGTAAGATTGACAGAACCTTGGGAACTGCACTTATCTGATGAGCCCCAAGAAGGACAAAACTAGTCGTGGGCTGTCAAAGAGTGAGTGGTATTCTTTGAGAGAAAACGTTTTTATATTCAATTCACACCGTACATTTTCGAAGGTGACCAATGAATAACGTCACAGCAAAATTTTCCTAGAAATATGGGATATATGCCTACCCGTAAGGAGATACCATTTTATGCGCATTTACGTTTGCAAACGAGAGCCGTATTGTATGCAAGCTTGACTGAATCCGGATACAACGTATACGCTGAATTCTCACTTGGAAACTATCAAAACCAGGACATGCAATCGAACTTCGATTGCATGTCTCGTTAATGAAGGAGTGCAAGTTAGCGATGGTGAGATTCCTACACAAGCGGTCTAGAAAAGCTTGGCTTGTGATCATAGCACAGTCACAATGCCATACGTGAGGTTTACAACACAACTTTTGTTTCTGAAACTTGCATCGTCCCTTACATCAAAGCACTTCATATGCTGTATAATCCCATGATCCCTTACGAGGGTCGTTAGTACTTCAGAAGCACATGACTGTTCTCATGTGGTCCAGTTTCTGGGAAAATATCCGGGCATAGACTCATCCAAGAGAATATAGCTTCTTACCGGCCATCCACGGCGTGGACAGTGGCTACAATTGGCGTTGCTGCAAAAGGTGAAGATGACAAATTCACTCACAGCTGTCCGATAATTACCAACTGCAGCTAACTTCACGGTGGATTGCCTTGACTGTCCAAGCCCATCCTACTATAGGTATATTATTTCACCGTAAATAAAGCCATACATTCATTTGAACTTGTATTCATTTTACACTTACTTATATACTTGCATTTATACCGTACCAATGACTCCATATATGACTAACGTCTGTAATTATAACCGTTCGCACGACCAACTACAACGGTGAAAATAGGTGGTATACTTGCAAGCATAATAATAAGTTGCAAATAGAGGAGTTCACGTAAGTCCACTGGAAATCCAGCGAATCTAATGACCATCGTCTTGGCGACAACCTCCGCGTCCTAAATAATCCAGAGTTCTGCGGGATGTCTTCACAACAGGACGATCGCTATCCACAGTTTCACACAAACCGGGCAAAGTCGTAGCCAGATCTATTGGTCAAAAACATCGAAATAGAATCACATTCATACAGATGAAGACAACCTGCGCTCGCCTGACGACCGGACTAGTATCGTCGATCGCTGCAATGTGAAACCATGTGACGATATTTTGCTGGAATGTGGTACGTCCGATTAGGCGTGTTTTCGTTGGGTTGTTTGTCCTTGATTCCTATTGGTTGTTTGTCTGTTGCTCCATGTGATCGCCTGATGAATTCGCTCGAATTGCTGTGTTTGAGGCAGGGCTCTCGGTTGACAGTCTCTCGCACTTCTCAGGACAGCCTAGGACTGGACTGCTGGTAGAGCTTCCGGGGTTGTCCATGTTGGTTGTGGGCATGTGACGCAGACGACCAGTGAAACAGAATCCGACACTAGGTCAGCATCTGCTTTGAATGTGCTAAGCTCGAGGCCTATAGGAACGGATAACAAATAACCTATCGAATGCACAATGAGAAAGAACGTCTCTGATCAAGACAGCATTGCATGCTTTCACGTTGCAACAACAACCAAACGTGGGCAAGTTAGGAGGTTGTCGTGCTACTCTTCTCCCATATAAATGCTGATGCATCTGTTCTGTTTCTTTTTTTTGACAGAGCTGAATACACTTCACTGGTTTGTACGTTTGTGTACACCTCTGATGCCGATGCAAGCGCTGCAGAACGTGCTACTCTTCTCCCATATAAATGCTGATGCATCTAGTCTGTTTCTTTTTTTTGACAGAGCTGAATACACTTCACTGGTTTGTACGTTTGTGTACACCTCTGATGCCGATGCAAGCGTCTGCAGAACGTCAACACTTTGAAGTCCAAAACTATTTGTATTGATCCTGTTAGATGACTTGCAAAGTCCGCGAGTATCAGCTGAACTCAGAGAGGCTACGAAATTTGTTCCATGGAATATTTGCCGATTCAATCATCATTCCTTCGACATTCGCCTTTATCATCATGGTCTGTGTAGGTGAAAGCAGTGCTCTGAAGCGATAACCCAAGGATAATCTGGAATTTGCGCAATTTTGTCTGAAATTGAGCCAACTGACATCGACCATCCAG